AAGCTGAAAGAAATGGCTGAGCCTGTTTTCAAGTGAGGCCGGTGCCATACGCTTTACAGGAGGAGGTTGACAGGGAGCTCAAGAAGTGGGAAGACTCTGGAATCGCCGAAAGGATCGAGTACTCCGACTGGGGAACGCCTCTAGTGGTGGTGCCGAAGACTGGGGGCGGGGTGAGACTGTGCGGGGATTATAAGTTCACAGTAAACCCGCAGCTGGACGTGCCAAAAACGCCCATGCTGCCCACTTTCTATGCCCGATTTGTGGCTGACATGTCCAAGGTGGCCGCCCCGCTACACCAGTTGCTGCAAAAGGGACATAAGTGGCGATGGACTGAAGCTGAGGAATACAGCTTTAACGAGCTAAAGCAGAGACTCGCCCAGGCTCCCGTTTTGGCGCATTATGACGGAAGTATTGTATTGTATTGTATTGTATTCACTCAGCAGCACATTCCAATGTAAGCATGCACATCTGATGGGATGACACACAATTGGCTATTACTGTGCTTTGTCGAACAGTGTATAAACAAATAGGGACCAATATATTTACTGTAACAAACACATCACTCTCGCACGTATATCTACAGTTTAACACCGACAAGGCATCCAGCGTTCACGTACTCACGACAGAGAGACAGTTTCTCTTCACTGCGGCTGCAAAACGTGTTCTGTTCCGCGCTCTAACTTGGGGGGGCAGGGCGTTATAGTCGGCTACCGCACGGTACAAGAACTGTCGTTTGCCGCTGTTGTGCTGTACGGGTGGTAAGCGGATGTCACCCTAGTGACGCGTGTTTCTGCCGGTGATTTCGATGTTCTGACTAAGACTATTCGCAAGGCAGACAGGCTGTCCTGTTGTAATGATACTGTGTAGTGTGGTCACGTTGTGATAATAGGCTAGACGGTTTGCGTTCAGTACAGGGCTTTGTTGTATCACGTCAGATATATGGTCGAACTTACGACGGTTTGTCATGACTCTGGCGCAGAAATTAAGGATTGCTTGGACCTGCTTCATGTTTGTCTGGTTTGCGCTACCGTACACAGAAAGGCAATAACGTACAATCGAAGTCACCAGACTCTCCACCACAGTGCTGACGAGCTCACCAGGAAGACTGTGCCTGACGTGTGACAGGGCTACAAGCAGTCCCGTACAGCGTGTTTTAATGTCAGCGATGTGAGCAGAGAATGTCAGAGACCGATCAAATGTCACTCCAAGATTGCGAACAGTGTCACTCTCCTCTATGCGAGTGGTCCCAACAGTGATGGAGACGGGTGGCAGGCGTTTCAACATCTGTTGCGTTCCGACCACGATCAGTTTAGTTTTGCCGGCATTCAGTTTCATGGCATGCTGTCCAAACCATTGGTACATTGTGGAGACCGCACGCTCCAGCCTATCCGAAACCTCAGCCAGGTCTGCCCGCCTACCGGATACGATGATCTGTGTATCGTCCGCATACTGTGTGATATGCACATCCCTCTCAACATGGAGGCTGACATCATTAGAGAAGATCGTGTACAGCAATGGCCCGAGGGCACTCCCTTGATACACGCCGATGGGATTTTCACGAGGCTGTGACGTCAGATGACCACGATGTCTACAGGTAAATGACACCTTTTGACGATGGTTGCGCAGGTAGTTTTCGAACCAGTGAGTGTCTACACCGTGAAGGTGAAGCTTCTCGAGGAGCTTTCCGTGGTCAACCACATCAAAACATTTGGATAGATCCAACAGCACCACCATTGCAATTTCACCACTGAAAAATAGTAGGCCGGTGAGATTGATCACAGATGCCAGTCCTCATGGATTAGGGGCTGTTCTCATGCAAGTGGACCACCATGGGAACGAGTGACCGGTGAGGTTCGCCTCAAGAAGCTTGACAAAAGCGGAGAAGAACTACGCCCAAATTGAACGGGAGGGACTGGCTGTCATATTTGGTGTCACCCGATTCAAACAGTACCTCTGGGGTAGAAAATTCACACTGGTAACGGATAACAAGCCCCTCACATCTCTGCTGGGACCGAGGACACAGTCTCCCGCACTAGCAGCAGCTCGAATGCAGAGATGGGCGCTGACTCTGGCAGCTTACACGTATGATGTAGAGTATAGAAAGGCGGATGAGATTCCGATGGCAGACTTCCTATCACGCCTTCCCGTTCAGGGGGAGCCAGAGGAGCTGACTAACGTGCAAGATGACGCTTCCGTGTGCTTCCTGGAACAGTTGGACAGGATGGAGCCGCTGACCTGTGAGGACATCAGGCGAGCGACACGCCGGGATAAGCTGCTTTCAAGGGTCGCCCAGTATATCCACAGCGGCTGGTCGGAACGAGGACCAGCGGAGCTACAACCGTTTGAATCCAAGAAGAACGAGTTGTCTCTCAGCTACGGCTGCGTGCTCTGGGGAAACCGGGTAGTCATCCCCGAACGCCTCCGGCGAGAAGTGCTGAAAGAACTTCATGACAGCCACCCAGGGGTCAGTAAGATGAAGATGTTGGCCCGGAGCTACGTATGGTGGCCGGGGATCGACGATGACATAAAAAAATCTAGTGAGCGGCTGCCCAGGATGTCAAGCAGGACAGAACGAGAGACCGGCGGTATTTCTACATCCCTGGGAGCGCACTAAGAACCCATGGGAGCGTCTACATTTGGATTTTGCCGGACCTTTCAGAGGATATTACTACCTGGTAGTGGTCGATAGCCATTCCAAGTGGCCGGAAATCGTCACCATGAGAAGCATTACAGCTGAAGCAACCATATGCGAACTGTCAAAAATATTCGCAAGATGGGGAATACCATTACAGGTTGTTACTGACAACGGAGCTCAGTTGACCTCAAAAGAATTCGAAGAATTCATGATGAAGCTCGGAATCAAGCACATACGAGTCGCACCATACCGACCTCAGTCCAACGGGCTAGCCGAGAGGATGGTGCAGACTGTCAAGAAAAATCTGAAGGCATGTCTCATGAGCGGAGATGGCCGTCCGCTTGAGCTACAGCTGTCATCATTCCTGATGGGATATCGGAACACACCTCACAGTATGACAGGTGTGGCACCCGCCGAATCCATGATGGGAAGAGTCATGAGAACCCGACTGGACCTGCTCAAACCGAGACCAGCTGAAAAGGTCATGAATTATCAAGCAAAGCAGATGGAGAACGCCAGCAAGCGGTTTCCGGAATACACGGCTGGAGAACCGGTGCTGGTGCGTAACTACGCTGGTGGATGTAAATGGAAGAAAGGTCATGTCACCGGCCGAACGGGACCTCTTTCCTACCAAGTGACGGTAGAGGGCGTGACATGGTCGCGTCACGCAGGACAGCTGCTTCCGCTGAGCCGCTCAAGTCCATCTGCAAGAGCAGAAAACGTCGGGTCAAGGACGGAGTCCGGGGAGCGACCTAAGGACCTGGGTGAGAAGAAAAGCAGAGGGGCTGATCAGCACCCACCGTGCAGTAGCACATATGCAGACGAACCAGGATGGCGAGGTTCCGATAGGCAAAACGTTCCGTCAGCTGCCGGGTCCAGGAGAGGATCAGTGGAAGGTCGCCAGCCAACAACTCAAGACATCGATCTGGAAAACTTAGATCACCCTCCAAAGGCACCGGAATGCAGCTACAAGAGTGGCGATGAATCGGCAGGGAATGAGTCGTCTGATAACAAGGAAGATTCTACACCTGAACTTCAGTCGTCACCTGGAGAAGATCGAATAGTCACTAGGAGTGGCCGGGAAGTGCGGAAACCGATACGCTTCCAGGCGGGCTCTGCTGACCTTGGGCTGGGGTCATTTCATTCTTAGGGGGCGTGAATTGTTATGCCCTGATACAGTGTTATGTCAGACTGCGAGGTCACTGACCTCACTGGAGGTACCTGTGTATTTACCCGACGTTCTGAGAACGAGATAAATTATTTACGTGATATGTTCGGACAACACGGGGTGCGGTGTGTGCTAAAAATGTGAAGCCATTGAATACAGTTTACCTTTTCATAGATATATAAACGAACTCTTAAGTTATAACATGCAACATAACCTTTTCTGGTCAGGTCATGACCTTGACCTGAGGTCAAATTTTCAAGTTGACCTTTCAAAGTTAAATTATAGTTCATTCGACCCGTCTCAGCGAGAGGAACACGATTGTGACAATATAAATGTCGTAGCGTTTTGAAGTCAAAAGTTATTGTCGAAAAACACTTTGTGTAAAAACAGCTATTTTTATAGTTTTTGCCCTCTGGGGGCTAAACCACTGACCTGAGGTCATTTTTGATAATAACTTTATCAAAAGAAGAGTTCAAAAGCTATCGATTGCTTTTCCAAGCGTTTTTTCTAGCTATCATAGTTCCTGAGATAATGGCATGTTTTCTGAAAAATATAATGACAACTCGCAAATTTTGACCTTTGATGACCTCTGGTGACCCCAATATTGCTCTAAGATGAAAAATGACTGAAATACTTTCAAACGTACGCATCGAGAGCTATCGCCTGCTTTTTACTGCGTCTTTCTAGCCATCTCAGTTTTTGAGTTAGAGGTGGGTGGTAACATATGCCCCCCCCCCCCACTAGGGCGAAGTTGGCTGAGACCGCCTCTGGGGCGCGGGTAAAGGTCACGTCAAGTGACTTAAGGTCACAAGGTCACAAGGTCAAAAAGGAAGATTTTCTAAAACCAACGGTGTTGAATTACTGCTATATTCGCTATAAACTTATTCATATCTTAACATTTTGCATTTTAAATATATTTATCTTAGATATAAGCCATCAAATATCGTCATGTTTCGTGACCTCAGAAAATGTCGGAGGCTTGCTTGCTCCCATTGAGCTGAAACTTGCAAAGCGCATCAGATAACCCTATGGACGTATTTTGAACAGCATGTGAGATGTACCGTGTTAATTTTCACTTTTGGTGGTCGATCTATCATGGAATGGCCCAACGGTGGAAAGGGGCCAGCGGAAACGAGCTGAACGATGCTAAGTGGTAATAGCATACCAAAATAGTAAACGGTATCGTGCTTCACATACCATGCGTCGTTTTCGATTTCCAAGTCCGTCCCATTCGCTGCAATCTTGAAAGACGGATGACCTCCCTTGGATAGAACGTAGCAGAAGACCAAGCCGAGGGAACACACATCCGCTGCTCCAGCCTGAAAAAAGTATTCTCTCAATAGTAACATTGATGTAGCTAATATGTAAAAATGTCAGTTTATTCCACATACTGTGATATTGCCCAAGAGTGATACCATGCATCGGCTAAAAGAAGGTGCATCCCCCCTGTTTAACCCTCGCCCTGGCATGGCATTTTTCATAACGCGGCCTGGCAGGGGGTTGGAGGGTCGATGCGACCCCCCCCCCAGGCGATTGACTCCTATGGCACTTAGAAACACCAAATTTGGTGGGTAAGTGGCCCCCCGGAGGCCACTTAAGGCCCTGTGCAAATTTGGCTGCTCTAGGTCAATATTTAAGTTTTTTTGGGGTATAAATGTAAAAAGTCCGCTAAAACAGGTAAAAAGTTGTTCGCCTTTAAATTTTGATCTAATTAAGATAGGGCAAAAACAAAAGCACAAGTAAACTCAGCACGTCAAGTCGCGTTGAATGATGTACTTTTTTGCTTGCTTAACACGCGCCGGGCCGGGGGGGGGGTGTGTTTGAACACCCCCCATGCGGTTTTTGGCACACCTGTTTGTGCATCTTTTCCGCACATGTTGTGAAAATTTCAGACCTAGGTCCCCTTAGGTCAGGTTACCAGGTCACGCCAAGTGACCTCACCTCAGAAAAAAATAAGAATGCTCGTCATAGCTACACCTACTGAACGATTGCCTTGAAACTTTCAGCGATTGATTAGAGCAACACTATCTATCAAATGTATCTCTCGGAATTTTGATATCGGTGACCTAAGTTCAGGTCAATTTTGCGGCCTCTCCATTTTAACCCGCGCCCCAGTGTCAGTCTGGATTTTCCACGACCTGGTGTGGTAAGGTGTTTGAACACCCCCTTCTAACTCGGCTCCTGGGCCACGTAGCGACACGCGGTAAGCGGCAATGGAAAGAACGTCAAAAATAAGGACGAAAACACTTGGTCATTTTTTGGGTCAGGTCAAAGGTCAGGTCACCAGAGGTCACCAAAGGTAAAATGTTGACTATTTCAACATTTTGGAAACTGCCGACGACTATCTCGGGAACTGATAGAGCTACAGCGCCGCGGAAAATAGCATTCGATAGCCCTTTTACAGACCTTTCTGAGTAATGCTCTCAGATTTGACTTCAGGTCAACGGTTTGGCCTCCAGAGGGCAAAAACTAAAAAAATAGCCGTTTTTACGAAAATCGGTTTTTCGGCGTTAACTTTTGACTCAAAAGAGCCATGACATTACTTTTGCAAGCATCGTGTTCCTCTTGTCGAGACGCGTCGAATGAACTATAAGTTGACCTTGAAAGGTCAACTTGAAAATTTGACCTCAGGTCAAGGTCATGACCTGACCGGAAAGGTCATGTTGCATATCAGTCGATCCGCAACGTCGAGCCGAACACATCTAAGGCGTTTTCAGCGCTCTAGCACGCCTCTATCAAAAGTTATTAGCGAAAAACTGTTAGATTCTGTTCGTGAGCTGAGATGACCTCGGGGACATAACGAGGGGTCACAGTTGCCATTTTCCGGTTCAGTGTGTCCATTTTACCTACATCTCGATGTTTGAGAGTGTCTAGAATAGAGTTCGTGCAAAACAGACGCTTTTCAATTTTATCCCATTGACTTATAATGGAGAGGCCGCAAAATTGACCTGACCTTAGGTCACGAAAGTCGAAATTCCGAGATATACATTTTATAGATACTGTTACCCTCATCAATCGCTGAAAGTTTCAAAGTGATCGGTCACTCGGTGTAGCTATGGCAGACATTGAAACTTTTTATGAGGTGAGGTCACTTCAACTGACCTGGTGACCTGACCTTGAATGACCTTGGTCTGAAATTTTCACAACACGTGTAGAATTGATGTATGATAATGTATACCAAAAACGGCGCGCTCCGCGCCGCCGTTTTTGAGATATCTGCAAAAACCGCAGGGGGGGGGGTGTTCAAACACCAAAACACACTTGGGCGCGGGTTAAGTCAACGGGAGAAAATTGAAAAGCGACAGCGTCTGTTTTGCATGAACGCTATTCTAGACACCCTCAAACATCGAGATGTAGGTAAAATTGACACACTGAACCAGAAAATGGCAACTGTGACCCCTCTATGTCTCAGAGGTCATCTCAGGTCACGAACAGAATCTAACAGTTTTTCGCTAATAACTTCTGATAGAGACGTGCTAGAGCGCTGAAAACGCTTGAGATGTGTTCGGCTCGACGTTGCAGATCGACTGATATGCAGCATGACCTTTTCCGTTCAGGTCATGACCTTGACCTGGGGTCAAATTTTCAAGTTGACCTTTCAAGGTCAAATTATAGTTAATTCAACGCGTCTCGACGAGAGGAACACGATGCTGGCAAAAGTAATGTCATGGCTTGTTTGAGTCAAAAGTTATTGTCGAAAAAAACGTTTTTCGTAAAAACAGCTATTTTTGGAGTTTTTGCCCTCTGGAGGCTAAACCGTTGACCTGAGGTCAAATCTGACAGCATTATCCAGAAAGTTCTGTAAAAGGGCTATCGAATGCGCTTTTCCGCGGCGCTGTAGCTCTATCGGTTCCCGAGATGGCCGTTGGCAGTTTCCAAAATGTTGAAATAGTCATTATTTTACCTTTGGTAACCTCTGGTGACCTGACCTTTGACCTGACCCAAAAAATGACCGAAGTGTTTTCGTCCTTATTTTGGAAGCTCTTTCGATTGCCGCTTACCGCGTGTCGCTACGTGGCCCAGGAGCCGAGTTAGAAGGGCGGGGTGTTCAGACACCCCCCCCCCCGGCCCGGCACGGAATCTCAAGAGCACCGGCCCGGCGCGGGGCCCTCACTGCCAGAAGAGATGTCACAGGGAAATGAAACTAGCAGGATCTAGTATCCATTATGAGTCTCACAACTTGTATATCTCGGATTTTTCCTAAAGGTCATATGAGGTCAGGTCATTTCCGTCACCTCACAATTATAAGTCAATGGGGAAAAATGAAAACTGCTATTCTGGCACCGGGAACGATCTCCAACTATCTCAAGCACACAGAATCGTGATTTGGTGCACTCCTTGCAAGGTTAGATGCGTCACTTTTGCAATGTTGACCCTAAATGACGTCATTTATGACGTCATCAAACTCATATTAGTTTTTTTGTCAATAACTCTTGATCAGACTGCGATAGCGAGTCGGGAAAGCCACCACTGGACTCATGAAGACCTGACAAATCGAATGCAATGCGACATGACCTCTTTCGACCAACTTCGTGACCTGGGGATGCTGACCTGACCTTGAACTGAGGTCAACACCCAAAGTTGACCTGACCCGAACAAAAAGTAAATCATTCGACGCGCCTGAGCGAAGCGAACACGATGCTGCCAAAATCGCGGCTCTGCGGCCGTTTTTTTCCGAAGTCATTCACCAAAAACTGTACCGTACCTTGGGGCACTTGACCTGACCTCAGAGGTCACCGGTTGACCTAAGACCTTAAAATCAGGTACCAATCTCTGCGTCTCGTAACGGCGCACACGCTCGTTTTTTCCGCGACGCGCTAGCTCCACCAGGGGCGAAACGGCGAGGGGGGGTGGGTCGTACCCGCCCCCCCCCCCTCGGCCGGCGCGTATGTAGAAAACCAATAGGTCCGGCGAGGGTTAACCCTCGCCCGCACATGCCATTTTCCCATCCTAGAACGCACATGGCGGGGGGGGGGGGTGGTTGCCACCCCCCCCGCGCCATTTCGTTCCTGTTGGAGATAGAGCTTAGCGGTAAAGACCAAAAAGATTCTTTGGGAAGAGACGAATCCAATGATACCCAGTTTTACCTTCTCAGGTCAGTCATTAACCTTCCAGGTCAGGTCAAACTAAAAAATGTTGCTGTTTTGGGTCACCGTTTGATATCAAGTGCGCTGCTTATCATATACCGATGACGATGCCGTTTTCTGGTGCCAAGCCAGCTAGAACCTCTTTCTCACACTACCCGACCAGGTTTTTGCTGCTGAGGTCATTTCAGGTCAAGTTAGGTCAAGGTCAATTATATGTGTTTATATGTCTGTGTGTGTCTGTGTGTATACTGATGTGTGCACCGATTGTTTATATGTCCATATTACATGAAATCATGATCTGAGAAGCTTTTACCGAAAATGCAGTCAAAAAACTTCACAAAAAGTAAATTTCGCTTGCCTAAAACGTAATTATCTTAGATGACCTAGGTTGACCTTGACCTTGACCTTGACATCTGTACATCGTCGAACAACATATTCCATGATAGGTGGGAGGTAAGACTGGTAAAAAAGGCCGAAATCAAGGTGTCAAAAGCTCACAAGGCCCATAGCCAACGCAAGATGTCGAGAATTGGCTATTTGGGTCATGACATGACCTAAAAACAAGGTCGTATCTCCGAAACCAAAAGTCACAGAAACCTGAAATATTCAGTGGACATCAAGAAAGGATAGAGGAGCAGCTATACGAAAAATCAGCCTTCTACCTCTAAAAACGTTGAGTGCAGAGCAGAAAGACTACCTGGGGGGGTGGCAACCCCCCCATGTGCGGGCGAGGGTTAAGTGTACCTAAAAAGTTAAGCATTTCTTAACCTTCCGCCCCACTGGAGGAGCTATTCATAGCCCCCCTTCTAGTTTTTCTGCAATAACTTCCAAACCGCTTGACGTATCGACGCCGAACTTTCAGTAACTTTGGCTGCATCAATTTGACACATTGTGTAAAAATATGAACTTCGTAGCTACCAAAGGTCGGCCGGAAATGACGTCAGAATGACTTAATGTTCGGCTGATTTCGACGCAAAACATTGAAGCACGGCAATCGCTCCCAAGAGCTCAGTTTTTTAAGCTAGATCCAATTTGCATGAGAGCACTCAAAACAGACTGCGCTATCAAACTGCTATCTCGGATTTTCAAACGTAATAAAATTTAGAATTCATATTTTTTCAAAAAGTTTTTGACTTTTCGAAAAAAGGCATATTTGTGATAAAACGCATGATTATGACTTAGTCTAGCATGTTTTGGCTAAACATCTTTAGAAATGGCCAAGTTATACGCAT